GCAGCGTGCTTCAGCTGTCAGCTGCTTCATGCAGAGCGTGCTGTAGCAGGCAGCTGGACTCAGACACAGACTGGGACTCACAGGAGCCCATGCATCACAGAGTGATGTCCCAAGTGCTGTGCCAACACTTGTCTTAAAAATGAATTAGTGTCACCTGTTACTACTGCTAGGCAATAACTCACGACACTGTTTTCCAGCATTCAGAATGAGCACTCACAGTAAGTGGCAATTAAGTTTCCCAGCAACATTTCAGACTCACCAGGAGAAATTCCAGACTTATCAAGCAAGTATAATTAAGAACTGCGTAAATGAAGATGCTACCAAAACATACAATGACAGGTGCTTGTCTAAAATCCACACACAAGGATTTTTGGAGAGAGCAGAAACAGGAAAATAAACATGAAAGCTTAGAAGGACTCAAGGCCACACTTCCCATGCAATTTAAAAAAATGTAAGATATTCTCCTTGTGAAGTGCCACATTCAAATATTTTGAACATCCCTTTGAAGGTAAATACCTCAAAGTAAAAACATGAGGGCACAAAAATGCCCTTTCCTAAATAAGCACATTAGTCCTGGGCTCCAACAATCTCTCGCAGGTCATTCTTTTCAAACATCTGCAACAGCCATACCACACAGATCAAGAAGAATCAGTGAATCCAGCTCCCAAGCAAAGAGGCCCCATCTCCAGGATGCCAAGAGAAATAGAAATGGAACCAGGGCCAAGTTCTTCCGGCACAGAATATGGCAGCACAGAGACACGGAGTTTCAGACTTGCCCAAATCTATAACACATCCAAGAGGCGTCTACCCAAGTAAGCAGGTGTATTTTGCACCAGCTCCAAACAATGCTACACTCTGAGCAACAACAAAGATCACAAACACATGTGTTTCAGCTCAGAGCTGACCTGCGGGCACTGAAAGCACACTGGATTCTCTCTTCCTGCTGGGTTAAACACCACAGAAGAGAGGCCGTGAGAGCTCAGAATACAAGGCTCTCCCTGCTAGGGCTGCTGCGAAGGCTGTTCCCCGCCTCGGCAGCTGTCAGGTGCATACTGGAGTCTGGGAATCTTCAACTCTGTTAGATTTTAAAAAGTGTTTTTTTTTTTTCTCATAAAACATATGCACAATCTGCTTATGATGCTTTAAGTGAGTAGGAAGCAAAAAAAAATTAATATAGACAAAAGTCATGAGATGCTGTATGGACAAAAAGTAGCAAACTGAGAGAAAGAGCCAGTGTGAGTGGGGTGGGGGAGAGAGAGAGAACTAAGTGATACCTACTATTCACGAAGCATCTGGATGCTAGATAACCATAAAACGAATCATGCAAAGAACTGGAATGTTAAATGTACATAAGAACTCAACATCCTCCAGGTCAGAGTCTGATCACCCACTGATGACATCCACTCTGGCAGGATGTGTCCTCTACTCAATAAATACTGCTGAGATTCTGCCTGTCTGCACGCATTTTTTAAAGTACCCTCACACATTTGAAAATGCAAGGAAGCCACCCCCTGTGCTGGTGACCACATGGGGTGGGGGGAGTTTGCAGTAGTGGCAGGGGTTCAGTTCATCTAGGACCTTGTAGACCAGTGTAAGAATGTGAGAGGTGGGCTTTAGTGCAATGGTTAAATCACCACTGGGAGTGGCTGCATGCCATGTGGGAGACTGTGCTTAGAGAGCTGACCACTTGGTATCTCATCCAGTTTCTTGATAACATGCCCTCTGGGAGGCAGCAGGTAATGGCACATCAGCAGGTTGATTAAGCACAGACCAGAACACAGAGCCAGGGGTCAGACCAGACAATGCTATCATCATCTAGAAGAAAAACATTGGTTAGATTGGGGAGGTTGGGGGTGTGGGGTATGGGGCTCCTAATCAGTTAATAAAACTCCACATATAACAAAATGATCAACACAAGACATGAAAAAGCAGTGAACCGTCACCGGGGCAACCGACTGGTAAATCACACACAGCTTTTTGTGCCCTTGGGAGGTTCTGAGGGGAATTTCCATGTGTTTTTCCTGGTCTGGATAAATCCCCATATGTTCTTCCTGAGCTGGATAAATTCCCAGTATAAGAACTCCTTCCCATAATGAGTGACAGAACTTTCCAATGAATAATTACAATGCAAGAGTCAACTGATAAATATGGTCCATAATTACAGGCAACGGCAATATGTGAACAGTGGCTGTTAGTGGGATCCAAGATTTTTACGTGCTCCTTGATGTAGTTTTGCATTTTACTATGCTCAGAAATGAACATGAATTGTTCAGACAGAACAAGGTGCTGGGGAACATGCATAGGGATTCAGAGCCTTTAGGTAAAGGTGCTTGAATAAACTGACTCTGGTGGCACAGTGGCCATTATGTTCGTAGGAAGCTGCCACTACTTGGGGGTGGCATCTCAACCATCTGTGGGCTTTGCTGAGGGCAACAGAGCCCTGCAGGCAGACCCCTGAATGACAGGCTGCTTGGCTGAGCCCCTCAGTTGGGCCCCATCTTTGTGCATCCTGTCTCCCAGATTTCCTCATCTGTTTCCAGTTATCACCATCCACTATCCACTCATCCAGAACTTTCCTTTGTATGGCATCACATGACTATCTTTGCAGCTACCCCTACTTCTGCCAGTACACTTCAGTTGTAAGTTTCTTGTGGGCAGGAACTTTCTTAAATATTTTTCTTGATCTCCACCACAAGGTATTTTACACTAGAGGCGATAAGGATCCGATTTATACGTTATACACAAATAATGGTTCTCACAGCTATGTTTTCAGCAACTCCACGTGGGTGAGTAGAATTCACTTGCAATCCATTGCTAATGGCCAAGGAACTGAATAATGCACCAACTTCAGAACTTCTTTGGTCTTTCAACAGTTATGTACATGACTTGGACAGTACGTGATGGGAAGTGGAGGTTACAATGCAGACACAATTTTGTCCAAACAGGAAAGTAACACTTGAGCAGCCCCATGTCACCTCCCCATGTAACATCATTTAAGGCTGACATCACTCTGCATGAGCAGAACTGTCCTTCCACAGATGAAGACAAGAACTCCAGCTCAGACAGCTTGGCCAGTCACCTGAAGAGCCCATCTTGAGATGAGCACGATGCTCTTTCTACTGCACCAAGATGCCTTTTAAAATCATGGAAGACGGGGCCCGGCGCGGTGGCGCAAGTGGTTAAGTCCTCGCCTTGCACGCCCGGGATCCCATATGGGCGCCGGTTCTAATCCCGGCAGCCCCGCTTCCCTTCCAGCTCCCTGCCTGTGGCCTGGGAAAGCAGTTGAGGACGGCCCAAAGCTTTGGGACCCTGCACCCGCGTGGGAGACCCAGAAGAGGCTCCTGGCTTCGGATCGGCATAGTATCGGCCCGTTGCGGCTCACTTGGGGAGTGAATCATCGGATGGAAGATCTTCCTCTCTGTCTCTCCTCTCTGTATATCCGCCTTTCCAATAAAAAATAATAAAAATAAATCTTAAAAAAAAAAAAAAAAAATCATGGAAGAGGAGCTGAAGACAAATCACAGAAAACTAATAAGGAAATAGACATGTTAAAAACACTATCATACAGTGGGCATTGTGGCATAATGGGTGAAGGCCACTGCCTGAGATGCCGGCATCCCATATGGGTACCTGATTGTACCCCAGCTGTTCCATTTCAGATCCAGCTCCACATTAATGTGCCTGGGAAAAAAAGTGAAAGATGACCTAACTGCTTGGGCTACTATGCCAACGGAGACAGATGAAGCTCTTGGCTCCTGGCTTCAGCTTGGCCCAGTCTCAGTCACTGTGGTCATCTGAGGAGTGACCCAGTGGATGGAAAATGAGGCTCTGGGCCCGGCACAGTGGCGCAAGTGGTTAAAGGTCCTCGCCTTGCACGCCCAGGATCCCATATGGGCGCCGGTTCTAATCCTGGCAGCCCCGCTTCCCATCCAGCTCCCTGCCTGTGGCCTGGGGAAAGCAGTCGAGGACGGCCCAAAGCTTTGGGAACCTGCACCCGCGTGGGAGACCCAGAAGAGGCTCCTGGCTTCGGATCGGCATAGTATCGGCCCGTTGTGCTCACTTGGGGAGTGAATCATCGGACGGAAGATCTTCCTCTCTGTCTCTCCTCTCTGTATATCCGCCTTTCCAATGTAAAAATAATAAAAATAAATCTTTAAAAAAAAAAAAAGAAAGAAAATGAGGCTCTCCAAGTGTTGTAAAAGCTTGGCCATACCTTCAAGTGGGTGGCACAGGAATTGCCTAGCCATTTCCTAATTGGTTGAGATACAAGTTCCCACCCAGTCAAGCAGTCAGGGAGTGGTAGCTTAAAAACCCAAGACTCAGGCCCAGCGTAGTAGCTTTAGCGGCTACAGTCTTTGCCTTGCATGCACCGGGATCCCATATGGGCACTGGTTCATATCCTGATGGCCCCCCTTCCCATCCAGCTCCCTGCTTGTGGCCTGGAAAAGCAGTCGAGGATGGCCTTGGGACCCTGCATGCATGTGGGAGACCCAGAAAGGCTCGGGTCTCCTGGCTTTGGATCGGCCCAGCTCTGGCTGTTGCGATCACTTGGGGAGTGAATCATTGGACAGAAGATTTTCCTCTCTCTCTTCCTCTCTGTATATTTATATCTGACTTTTCAATAAAAAAAATATTTAAAAATAAAAGAAATTAGTTTGGCATTTTGACTGGTAAAACTTTAATTTACCCTAAGTTAGGTTTAAGGGACAAATGTGCTTGAATATGGTATTATAAGAAAACATGATATTTCATAGAAAAGGACTAAATGAATAAGAGGTTAGGTCAGAATAAAATTTCTTAAACTTGGATTCCGCTGTTGCTCAGAGCTCAACATGTAGGCACTGACATTAGAAAAAGGCAAAACAAGCAAGAATTAGAACACGGGACTGCAGGACTGCGGGACTGCGCAGAAGCTGCTCTTCACAGCAAAAGAAACATGAGTGAAACCAGAATCATGTTCTTTTGTTTTTTCAATCTCTCTCTCTCTCTCTTTTTGTTTTCATGGGAGAGTGCTAACACAGTCCCCCACTACCACAGTTATGCAGTCAAGTTTCCCACATTTGGGGAAACAGCAGGGTCAGCATACCCAGAGTGCAATGGATGAGCCTTGCACTGGGAAAACCACCTGCTTGAGCATGGTATCTCCTCTACCAAGTACGTACAGAACCATGTTCTCAACAACACTGATCTTCCAAGCTTCTCAGCTAAGATCACCTTCTAAGGATAACCTACCTGGAGACATGTAGGCAGGACCAGAAATAAACAACAATAATAAGGGTGATGGAGAACAACTACCTGTGTTATGTAAAAGGGAAGGCAGCAGCTAAGCCCCTCCATGAAGGAGGAGAGCCTCTGGCTGGACTGACAAACACAATGATCGGCCGCTTCCCAGTCACCCCGACTCCACCTGCGCCCCTTGCACCCCACCAGAACCTATGCTCTGGCTCCACTGGGCTCTGTTCTCCCCTGAATTCATGGCTTTGTTTTGGATCTGGGTTCATCTTCCATGCACCTGCCACTGACTGTAAATGCCTACTGACTCTTCAAGGATGAGCCCAATAACTCCTGCTCCTGGAGCCTAATCCAGCTGTGGGGTAGCTCCACAGGCAAGATACATGACACTTTCTTTATATCCTCGTCAGCCTTGCTTTTCTTTGTCTCAAAGCACAGTCACACCTGCATCTGTACCCACTGGCTGTTTTAGGCATTTGAGGAACCAATCAGAGAACAGAAGACCTTTCTGTCCGTTTCTGACTTTCCAAAAAAAAAAAAAAAAGAAACAGAAAAATTCAAATGTCTCTAAAAGCTAACATGATTATCCAAAATCAAAATCATAAAATTGAGAAAACATAAATAAATAACATAAAAGTAATACTAATGTTTAGAAAAAATATTTGTTTATTTTTATTGGAAAGGCAGCTTTTGAGAGAGAGAGAGGCAAAAAAAAAGACCTACCAGTTCACTACCCAAAGGGCCACAATGGACAGAGCTGAGCCAATCCAAAGTCAGAAGCCAGAAGCCTCTCTGGAGTCTTCCATATGTGCAGGGTCCCAAGGACTTGGGCCATCCTCTGCTGCTTTCCCAGGCCATAAGCAGAGAACTAGATCTGAAGTGCAGCAGCCAGGACATGAATTGGTGTCCATATGGGCTGCTGGCAGTTGAAGTTGGAGGGTTGATAATATATACGTGGGGGTCAGCACTTTGGCACAGTGGATTAGGTCACTGCTTATGATACTGGAATCCCATATCGAAGTGCCACTTCAAGTCCTGCTTGCTGTTTCCAATCCAGCTTCATGCTTGTGGCCTGGGAAAGCAGTGGATGATGGTTCAAAGCCTGGGATCCTGCACTAAAGTGGGAGACCTGGAAGAAGCTCCTAGCTCCTGGCTTTGGATTGGCTCAGCTCCAGCTCTTGTGGCCACTTGGGGAGTGAACTAGTGGATGAAGATCTTTCTGTCTCTCCTCTCCTCTCCTCTTCTCTTTTCGCCTCTCCTCTCCTCTCCATAAATCTGTCTTTCCAACAAAAATAATTAAATCCTTTGAAAATTATCTTTAAATTGTTTTAACTTGCATCATAACAGAAGTAAACATATATAGAAATAAAACTGTGGGGTGGGATGTTGATGCTTACGCCATGACCAAGACAGACATGGCTATGCCTGGCCCACTGTTTCTTGAGTGACATCTCTCACCATTTAACAAGAACTACAGAATTGTTCAAAATTGTTGGCTCTCACCATGATCAATACAAGAGCTGCAGCCCAAGGAAACAGATCAGGAAAAAATATGGTAAGGCATGCATTATATAACTTGCTATCCCAGAAAAAGATTGGAAAACAACCACCACATATCCCAACATGAGGGAAATAACAAACGATGAAGTAGTAGCATATCCTACTTTGAGTTATTTATATACATATTTGTATACATAAATATATATGAATTATTTATGAAATCTGCTAATGCACACAAACATTAGATTTATAAACAAAATGCATAAAGTTTTCTGGGTGAGAAAACAATCTGAGCTACAAAAAGCCTAAACTTTAATTAGCACTGTGCTATTATTTCTATGAAATCGCTTCACATCTGAAAATACTATGTATATGTCTTAAAATGAAAGGATTTTCTTGAAGGATACAAGAAGACATGCTGGGACCACCCATTACATGCCATTCAGCAACTAATGCTGCTGAGAATGGGGTTAGCAATATTGCCATAAAGGACATTGAGATTAAGTGTTTGACCCCAACCACTGAAACACGACTGATGTAGGACAAGCAAAAGCTTATCCTCTTACGCACAGTGAATGAGCTTAGGGGTATAAATCAGTATTAGCCTTCTACTTGCCATTACCCCAACAGCCTGTAAAGATACAGTGAAAAGAACAGCAAATGTGTTTTAGTCACTAGCAAATGTGGACTGCTAGGATGTTCTTGTTTCAGCCAACGGTCATTACAGCATACGATATGGATTTATCTCATTGAAGAGTGAAGACAAATACATCCTCCTTCTCCCCTACAGCAGATGAGATCCATCTCTCATTCTGTGCATTTCTGAGGATAAATAGCAGGCCTACATTTTTTTTTTTCCTGGTGCCTGAAGTAATTAAGAGAATCACGCAGGTCTCAGCAAGAGAACATCACAATTAGGAGAGCTCCAGGGACTTACTTCCTTTCCTGCACTGCCGCTTGCCCGAGCCTATAAATAACAACATGACATCATGCTGACAAAAGCAGGCAGTTCAAATGCCCAGAGCCAGGGCTGCCTGCCCTGCGGCAGATGCCGAGGGCCACTCTGCCAACATCCAAACAGTCCGGCCACACTGGCCACGGCCCTCCCCAGACGCCCCCTCTTTTCTTTTCCCTGCGGGATAAAAGAAATTCAGGGTTCTGTGCCTGCTACCACGGGGCTACTAAACCAGATCAGTACTACATCAGTACTAGATCATAGTTCCTCTTCCTTCCCCCGAAACACCAGTGATGTAGGCTATTGCTTCATCCTGGAAGAGGGTCCAACATCTGTCACTTGCACTTCATGCACTGTGCTCTGTTCTGAAAGAGGCACCTGCTGAGAGCTTCCCAGTGGACACGTATCCCACCCCCATCAAAGCCCTCCTACTGAGAATCCTTTGATACAGTTGTGGCTTTCCAGACCCACTCCAACAACAACCAATGACCATGTTTTGCATTTACTCAGTCTCTAATGGGAGAATGAACCACACACAATTAAAACCATGCAAAATTGTCAAATTGAGTTGTGTGATTTTTTTTTGGGGGGGGGATGGGTGGTGCTGGTGGTTATCAGCTTATCCAAAACTAAGCATTGTCATTTTCAAATGAGGACATTAACTCAAAAGGCAAGCATAACAAAATGCAAACCCTGACTTTACACATGTTTAACAGCTTTAAGTCAGAATCTACTTAATTGCTTTAAAAATTTTGTTAAGAAAATGTGAGCAGGCATATAAAAATTGTGTGTATTTTTGCAGTACAGCATAACATTTTGCTACATGGAGACACTGTTTCCTATCAAAGCAGGATAGATACATTTAACATCTCCTTCTAGTGAAAGTGTTCCAAATCCTATCTTTCAGGTCTTTTAAACCAAGAGATAGTACACTACCTATGGTCCTCCTGCTGTGTCACATAGCCCCAGAACTTCTGACTTCAATCTAACCATAAAAACCCAACTCAGCTCACTGCATTCATTAGTACAGTGAAGGGAGAGAATTCCCATAAACGCCTAGTACGCGTACCTTATTGCTGAGCTGCACGCAATTTCAAACTCTATTCTCTCATCCTCCAGGCAGCAAATGTGTGCTGAACACTTTATGTAGTATCCTCGTGTTCAAACCGACTCCAAACGCATAACACCTGCCCTTGAAGAAACGCAAACCTAAGCAGGCAGTCACCCTGTACCCAAGTTTCAGCTCAGAAATGGGCACTGAAGTAAGGAGGCTCAGGCGACTTCAGATTTCCCCTCACAGTGTTACGTCACAGTGTCACACTGCACCAACTCAAGGGAGCAGAAAACCTTGAAGAGAGCCTAAACCCCTTTCTGGCTAGCAGGGCACTCACCCCGAGTTCCAGAGAAAAGAACTCTGCTGAATAGAGCTGGTTGCTTGGGAGACTGATTAGCGCGACATTTCAAAGAGAAAGAGACAAAAAGAAGAAATACTGTCGAAGACTCACATGCCTAAATGCAAAGGAAAAAATAGTGTCAAACTAATGAGATTAAAAAAAAATAACTTGGGACGTGGGCGTAAACAATTCAGAACCTATTAAGCCTTCTGTACTGTGCTCTTGCTATAAACTGCTAGACTCTCTAAAGAATATTTTCCTTCTAAAGGGGCTTAGTTAGAGAATACAAGTCAGGAACTTGCTCTGTGGAGTCTGTAAGGCAAGGAGTCATATAGTGAAGAAAATGAAATGACAGGGGGCAGTAACGTATATTCCACTGCAAACACCAACCAACCCACACATCCACACACCCACCAAAATCCCTGGGCTTCTGAAAACCTTCCTGAAAAGCCTTCGACAGCATTCAGGGGGTTCTCGGGGCTGACACCTCCCCAGCATGGGCACCGGCCAAGGGGAGCACAGAGTCCATACCTCCCCCTGAATAACTGCAGCCCATTGATAAGGACATAGAGGATACCTCCAATACCACAGCTGCCTTCTTCCATCCACATAATTGTCTTTCTTTTCTTTTTAAAAGACCTCTTTATTTAGGGCCAGGCGCCGTGGCCTAGCAGCTTAAGTCCTCGCCTTGAATGCGCCGGGATCCCATAGGGGTGCTGGTTCTAATCCCAGTGGCCCTCCACTTCCCATCCAGCTCCCTGCTTATGGCCTGGGAAAGCAGTGGAGGATGGCCCAAAGGCTTGGGACCCTGCACCCGCGTGGGAGACCTGGAGGAAGTTCCTGGCTCCTGGCTTTGGATCGGCACAGTACTGGCCATTGTGGTAGCTTGAGGAGTGAATCATTGGATGGAAGATCTTCCTCTCTGTCTCTCCTCCTCTCTGTATATCTGACTTTGCAATAAAAATAAAGAAATCTTTAAAAAAAAAAGAAAGACTGCTTTATTTTTATAGGAAAGGCAGGTTTACGGAGAGAAGAAGAGATAGAAAGATCTTCCGTCTGCTGGTTCACTCCCCAAGTGGCCACAATGGCCAGAGCTGAGCCCACCTGAAGTCAGGAGCCAGGAGGCTTTTCTGGGTCTCCCACATGGTTACAGGGTACCGAGGCCCTGGACTGTCCTCTACTGCTTTCCCAGGCCACAGGTACGGAGCTGGATAGGAACTGGAGCAGCTGGGCCACGAACCGGCACTCATATGGGATCCCTGAGCGTGCAAGGGAAGGATTTAGCTATTGGACCATTGCTACAGGCCCTCATAAATTTCTTAAAATGTCATTCTTCATGTCCCCTGGGAAGCAGAATGAAGAATAGGTATGTGCAGGAGGGAGAACCCGTATGCCCCTTGTTGGGTGAGCTCAAAAACTCTGGGATCCCCGCTTGTCTTTTTCTTTCTCTGGCGGATGACACCAGTACATCTAAGCCACTGACGAGTCCTGAGGAGGAAATGGAACAGCACAGGTAAAGCTCTCAGCAGAGTGCTTCACCAAATAAAACACGAGAATACAATAGGAAGCTACTATCACCTCAGAGCCAACACTGTCCTGGCACTTGCGGCAGTCACTTGCGTAGAAATCAATTGTCCCGTCAAGATCAAAGCTTAGAAACAGACTGTTGGTTGCTCAGAGGGGAAACCCGTTGTATTTTGTGTTCTGCAGCTGACAGATTTCATCATGCTCCTGTGCCTTAGGCTTCAAGCACACCGATTTGTCTGATTACCAACAAGGCAACTCACCCCTGGTTCGCCCACATTCCCTGAACAGAAGGCAACTGACTAACAGCCAGGCTTCCTGGAAGAGTCTTCCCTAGCAATGATGCAAGGAGAGGCACAAGAACAAAGTGTTCCCAGGTCCTAATACTTTCTGGCTCATGGTGATAATAATCCCCAGGCTAGAATCCGAGATTTGCTCAGGGAACAAACAGAAAGAGCAGGAAGGTACCGTACCTCCAGTCGCTGTATCCGTCCCTTGAAAAACATAAAGAGGGAAGAGTTTGGATAAGCAGCTTCTTTTTTGAGAAGAATCTCCTTAGCTTCATCCAGGCCGGCTTTGTTATCACTGCCATCCAAGGCAAAAAAAGGGCGGACTACAGTGTGGTACCAAAGCAGAGCTAATCTACAGGGGAGGAGAAAGACACAGAGCGCGTGATTTTTTTTACAGTTTCTGTTGTTTTAAAAAATTCCAGCACGTGCCCTTCCCAAACAGTCTTCCCAAAAAGCTAACCATGTGGTCTTGAAGGAAGTAAAATCAAGAGTACATTCACCGGTTGTAATTGTGTCTGCTTTGGGACACTGTAGCTGGAGCACAGGGCGTAAGTGGAGATGCCCACTCCCCCAGGTGACAGGAGCCAGGTCACAGGCACATTGGCTTTCCCAAAATAGCATCCTCCTTTGTCAATGCCCAGCTTAGAAACAGTCACCAGGACCTTGAATTTACTGTCCCCTCCTACTAAACGCTTTAATTTGTGCTGAAGAAGAACCCTGCTTTCTCTTGAGCTCTACCAAGTTAAGGCGCAAGGCTCAGCTCAGAATTCAAATTTAACCACAGAAACTAAAGTCATAAATTTTACTAAGTTAAAATAAATGAGAGGAACAGATAAAAGGCCTTTCCTCTGGCCCTGGAGGACGCCAATGTAGGAAACAAGCAAATAAGTAAGTCAGTTTCAAACACCTATACTGCAAGCCCACGACTTTCCAGGAAAAGAACACATTAGGGCAATCGAACAGATTCACTGCAAACAGCTTTAACGAACAAATGAAAATATTTAGCCAGCACACAGAATATTTTTATGTAAATGTGTACTTGTGGTGTGCTCAGACACTTAGTGCTTTTGTGGAAATCACACAATTTCACATTCCCAATGACATTCACTCCTTAAAGCACCAAATGATATTAAGATAGAAGTTTGACAAGTGATCACAGGTGACAAGTCTGTGAATTCAGGTTAGTGAAGGACGATGGTTGGTGAAACTTCATTAGTCTGGGAAGGCATAAATATCTTTCCAACGAAAAACTGACAATACTTCTAATAGCCCTGGAGTTAACAAGCACATTCTACACTAAGCAGAAATAGAGCTTGTTGAGAACATCTGTGATAGCAATTTTTCTGTAAAAATTCTTGTGGTGTCATGTCAAAAACAACTGACTTGGCAAAACTGCTCAAATGGAAAGTGGTAGATAGTGGCCAGAATGGAAGAAAACTACATCATTTTAACTGATGTAGAAAGGGGTCGGTCCTTCCTCTGAGGGTCTTGTCCGAGTCCCCATGCCACCTGGCTTCAACAGTTGTCGCTTCAGCTTACTCTGAACAATGTACCATGACTCAGCCTAGTGGATGTGCATAAAACAGTCCGGCCATATTGTCCTAGATTTCTGAGAAAAAAATTTTTAAATCATGAATCAAAGCTGAACCCCTCCAGTAAATGAGGGATCCTTAAAAAGTTCATGGAAAATGCACATTATGAAAAAGATTGTGCATGTATTTAAAATTGCTTGCACCACAAAAAACTGAACTTTTACTTTCAGCTTTCCAAGAATCTTCTGAAGCACCACCTATTAGAAATGAACTGGGTAAATAGAATCGAGAAAAATCACCCAACATGGGGATTCTTCACAAGAATACAAAATTTAGGACCAGAGAAATGGCTTCTTAAGTTCCTATGTCCTAAGACCCAAACTCAGGATCACAATTCACAGTGATGCCTGTGGTCACGTGACAAGAACATCTCAAATTGCTCGAGGAGGAAAGACAATGCCAGTTGACCTGTTTAAAAGACAGGACTCAGGAGACTTGAGAACAGCGCCGTGTTCTCCAGCTGCTTGCCTCACAGCTACCACCCCAGGACCCGACAGGACGATAGGACGCAGTCCTCAGGGTCGCATTCCAAGGACACCAAGTACCGCATCCTGTCAATCAACCACACATTTTACCTGAAGTTCCCTTTACAATGTGATTGTAGTTTACTTACTTTCAACACTACATTATCTACCAAAGCATTGCAATACAGCTACTCACGTAGCTAAAGGGGCCTTCATGTCCTTACTTTCGCTCGCATACATCAGTGAAGAAAGCCCCTGTAGGCGGTCTCCAGGAAAACCCAGCAGGTTGATGATTTTGAGCAGGTTTGGGGGCACCATGGATATGCAAAGGTGAAAAAGGCCATATCCAAAGCTCACAGCACCTTTCAGTCTGTTCAGAGATTCCTCAGACACCCCTTCAGCCACAATGTGATTATCATTTGCAGCGTCAGAAGTCAAGGGCTCTTCAGTTAGCTTCTTCTGGTGCAGCTCTTGGAGTGCATTGATGTCCAGATAGCATTTATTGTAAATCTTCCAGGCTTTCCTAAGGATCCACCCACCTTTTATATATGCTAGAAAGAGAGGGGGGCAAAAAGTATGAACACATAAGTATTCCTGATCAATTTTGTATCCAAATAATAAAGAATATTAAAAAAAAACCACAAGAATTGAGCAAAACTGTACAAACTATAAGAATCATTATGGATCAGGGCACCCAATTTTCTTCACAGTGCTTATTTAAATCTCTCATTTGTTGTCGATTTTTCTTCTCTAGACCATATGACCGCTGGTAAGAACCATAAGGTATTTTTTATTCATTGTTATATCAAGTCCCTTATTCAACAACTAGAAAATAGCATTGTGACTATAACATGTGCCGGAAGGAAGGGAGGGAGGAGAGAAAAATTGAAAGCGAGGGAGTAAAGGAGGAAAGAAACGAGGTAGAGAGGGCCACAGAAACCCAATGGAAATGCTCAGGTGTTCTGAGATGTCCGCCACTCCCCTGAACTACTACCATCACCTTTATAACTCTCTCACCTGCCTGTTCTCTAAGAGTGAATTTTTGGTCTAGTTCATTGCTAAATTTAAACACAAGCCCCAAGCATGGTTGTCTGGCCAAATCTAGCAAGCCAACAAACAAAAGGATGCACATGGATTGTGTAAAAAGATCGCAGTATCTACCAAATCTGGAAGAAGATGGCTCTCAGTTCTATTCCATAAAGCCAAAGATCCACTTCAAAATCAGGGAAAAATGAAAGAAGGAAGAAATTAGAATCTAAAGTTTTGAGAAACATGAGAGTACAATATATTTTTTTAATGAAAGAAAAACTGTACAGGAATCCCAAAGATATGACTCAGTCATTGATTATCTTTCTATTATTTGCCTTGGACTGTGTTTTGGCATTTAAAGGACCAAAAAAAAAAAAAAAAACCACTAAAGAACATAATCCCAGCCCTTCAAATGCCCACGGTACAATTAGAAAAGAAAAATAAATGCAAGCGTGCAGCTTAAGACAAAATTTACATTTAAATGCTGCAATGCATCACAATGGAAAAAGCAAAAGCAAATTACCCTGAGGCTGTGAGCAAACTGTTCTCTTTGCCTTTTGTCATTTAATTGCTTTCTTTGTAACAAGGGCATCAATGAACTAGAAGGTACAAAAGAAAGACTGTAGGATTTTGGCAGAGAAATTTACTTCCTTCTACCCCCAATCCTAACTGGACATCTGATAGATTTGTGAGTCTAGCATCTCACGTGGATGCTGGTTCTAGTCCCGGCTGTTCCACTTCGCATCCAGCTCCCTGTTTCTGGCCTGGGAAAGCAGAGGATGGTTCAAATCCTTGGGCCCCTGCTTTCATAAGGGAGACTGAGAAGAAGCTTCTGGCTCCCAGCTTCAGATCAGCTCAGGCCTGGCAACTGTGGCCTTTTGGGGAGTGAGCCAGCGGATAAAAACAATTTTAATCAGTCTCATGACCAGCCAGAGCCCAGGTCCATATGTGTGCATGCCCTGTGCTGTCCCCAGACCCCACCACATTCCTTGCCACACTGCTCTGAGGTTATGATGGGGCACCTGAATAAAGGTGCCCAAGAAGGGGGTAATTCCCTCCCCCCAAAAAATCCATCTGGATGTTTTCTAAGAAATGGACTCCAATAATGAGATGAAGCATTTTTTTGTGAGGCAATAAACAGGGGAATGGGGCAGGTGTCTGATTTAGCAGGTAAATATCGGCTAAGTGACCTGTGTCCCCTGCTGGCATGATTGGGTTCCATTCAGCTCCTGACTCCTGCTTCCTGCTAATGGAGAGCCTGAGAGGCAATGGTGATGGCTCAGGTAACTGGGATCCTGCCACCCACCTGCAAAGGCCTGGCCTGAGTTCCAGGATCCCAATGTTGCCCTCAGCCCAGCCCTGCTCACTGCGGGAATCTGGAGAATTTATCTGTAGATGGGAGCACATGCTCTCTCTCTTAAATAAATTAAAAAGAAAACCAAACTGGTAGGTGTCACAAAGGCAAATAAAGCACTCAGATTATGATTATTCATTTGAAATAAATCCTAAAGTAACTGAGAACTTCACATATTTATTAGAACCTGAGACGACCATGCCTATGAGATTTTCACTTCATTATAAATATCACACTCAATAAATTATAAGGCTTTAGGAAGAACTTAGAATGCTGCAAACATTTATGATAAATGGAATAAATAATTCATATCCAAGTGTTAGAATAAAGGTCGTGAAGGCAATTTATGAAAGACACAGCTTAGTGATAAAATGCAAAAAACTGATTCAAGCTCCCTTATGAACATCCACAAAAAGGTACAAAAAAGAACATAAGTGTTCAGGAACACTTGATTTAAATAAATCATGGCGCATGCATAAGACATTAATATACTATTATTTAGAATTTTATTTTTAAAAGTGAGTCATAAGGACAATATTCAAAATACAATCTAAGAGGGGAAATAAGACACAAAGCTCTGGTAGGTTAATCTTGTTTAAAAAAAAACACGAAATAAACAAACAAAAAAACCGCAGAGGGCCCACCGTGGTAGTGTGGTGGCTGATGTCCTCGCCTTGCACACACCATGATCCCACATGGCCGCCGGTTCATATTCCAGTGACCGCTTCCCATCCAGCTCCCTGCTTGTGGCCTGGGAAAGCAGCTGAGGACGACCCAAAGCCTTGGGACCCTGCACCTGCGTGGGAAACCCAGAGGAGACTCAGGACTCCTGGCTTTGGACCTGCTCAGCTCCAGCCATTGCGGCCACTTGGGGAGCGACTCAGCAGACAGAAGCTCCTTCCTCTCTGCCTCTCCTCCTCTCTGTACATGAAACCTTCCAATAAAAATAAATAAATCTTTAAAAACTGCAAGGAGAAAAACAGACCACTAACATTAATAAGTAATTTTCTCCATGGAATGAAATTAAAGATGACTTACTTTGTTTTATTCTTTGTGATCTCTTGAAATTTTTCCAGACTAACATTTAGTAATTTTATCAGCAGAATAATCCTTAAAAAAAATCAATAATATGATCTGATTGCTCTTAAGTCCATGGGAATGGGAGGACAGCCTGTGTTTGTTCACCTAACACAGTGCTTAGGATATAACGTTCACTGCGTGTTACAAGTCAGGAATGCAAGAGTCGATGAACAAATGGAGATTGAGTCATTCGTTTTTAAAATTCTGGTTCACTTTTGCACTTACACATTTTACATTTTGCCTTGCCTTTAGTCTTTTATTTTAAAGATACATTTACCGATTTATTTCACAGCAGAGAGTCAGAGTGGGAAAAAATAGGCAGAGGGCTTCCATCCGCTGGTTTGTCCCCCAAAAGGCTACACACAGGCCGGGGCTGGGCCAGGCAAGAGCTGGGAGCTTGGAACTTCATCTCGGTCTCCCAAGTGGGTGGCAGCAGCCCCAGCACTTGGGCCATCCTCACTGCCTTCTAAAGAGCATCGGCAGGAAGCTGGATGGGAAGCACAGCAGGCAGGATTTAAACCAGCACTCTGATCCAGGATGCCAGGGTTGGAAGCAGCAGCTTATAGCCTGCTGCACCACAATGCCAGTCCTTGCATTTACTTTATCCTTCTCTCTCGACAAATGAGGAAAAGGAGGTACAAGAAATCAGAGAACCCACAGCGGTAGAGTTAACCTGCGTCAACCACAGAACTCCTGGTAGGCCCTGCCGCTGCAATGAGGATCTTCCTGTGGTCTGCAGACACCATGAGCTTTCCCCAGAGCAAGCGCAGTGTGGAGAGGGTCCTAGGAAGAATGAAGAGGGGAGAAAAGAACAGCACCAAAGAAAAATGGTGGAAGTGCATAGCAGAACAAATAGAATAGGGTAAGTTCAAGTGGAGGTCAAAATAAAAGTGGAAGTCTACTTCGGACTTGAGTCAGATAGGACCAGAGCTCCCCACATGAAACAGGGACAAAGGAAAGGCAGGGGAGAGAAAGAGGTAAAAAAAGCAAAGAGAGGAAGAGAAAGATTGAGGCAGAGTTGGCAGAGGAGAGAGACAAACTAGTTTGTTTCTAACAATGCAGATGCTACCGGATTTAGCAGGAATGCCACTTTCTGCATTTTAGGTTTGGAAGAAAATTCTTCCTGACTGAGTCATAAATGATTTCTGTTGTGAACTTTCATGTTTTCTGAGTATATCCTATCCACTCAAGGGGCAGGCTCCTGCTGTGGCAGCAGAGAAATGCCTAGTCATCTAAGCCAAGCTCAGGCCCAGCTACACCCAGTCCTACTTGGCACAGACTGTCAGAGGTGCATTCAATGAAAACCTACAAGCGCCCAGAAAATACTACGGCAGACAAATTAAAGAGCTAGTTTATGCTCCTCACTCAAGGTTGGCAAAATTCAGGTCATTTAATTATATTGAGGAATCTTCAATGATTTTGAATGATTTTCCAATATTTTTGAAACCATTGAAGATGCCCAGGCCTTCAGTGACAATTTCCTGAAAAACTTAAACTAAACCTGTCATATTTTAGCTGAAAGGCTCTGATCGCAACCTGATCACCACAGAGCCCAAGGGCATCAGGAATCTACACATCCACGTCCAGCAAAGGCACCGGTAATTTCTCTAAGGATGACAGCATTATGTGGCGACAAGAGGAAGAAATATAAACAGTGGAACTAAAACTACATGAAATACACATTAAGCACTTGTGGTTTCAATTTCTAGAGTAAGAAATCAATACCACCCTCCAGAAAGGCGCCACACGTTTTCAAAGACTGACATCCAGGGCGTTCTAAAGCAAAATTATTATTGCACTTGTGTGTACTAAGCAACAAGCCTTGCAAAGCAATCCTATGGCATACCTGACAATTCCTGTTTTACAAATGAAAGCACGGCCAGGTACACCTGACAGTCAGCTATGATGATTTGCCTCTGAAGCCGATCGACCATAGAGGGGGCGGATTTCCGGACATCAACCTGTTCGGTGAAAAGAAAGCACACACTCATAAACCCTGACAGCTATTGTTCTCTTACACAAACTAACTGCACCTGGGAACTGTGAAACTGATAGTCACTGAGCCAACACCAAACTGCTGCTATGCCTTGGTAACTGTATCTCTCTACTCCCGTGGTTAACTGTGTTTGGTTAACAAGCCCATACCATGCAGAAGAGCATGCTAACTCCAGGACAAAGATTTATGGGGAACATGAAAATCAACAGAAAACTTTAGAGGTTCACCTTAAAAAAAGTTAAATTTTATTCAAAACTGAAAACCCATCTTATTCCTTGAAAAGTCATTTAATAACCAGTAATCTTTAGGGAGGACTAATAGAAGGATACAAACAAATGAGATGGGAGGGTAAGAAATTGACGACACTTCTGTTAAAGAAATCAGCTTTGAATGTGGCATATACACAGTATAGAGCACCACGCAGTCGTTAAAAAAAAAAAGAAGAAATCCTGTCTTTTGCAACAAAATGAATGCAACTGGAAACAACTCCACTTAGTGAAACAAGCCATTCCCAAAAAGAGAAATATTATTTGCTTTCTCTGATAATGCAGTGGTGAGTACAAAATTTTTTTTAAAAAAAGTAAGAATGAAATGGCCACTTTGGGATAGGACTGTGATTTTAACCCCATATCTATACACCAGTGGAATTATGGTCATCCTACTTTTTACTTAATATCATCATTAGTGGCAAAGCAAGGCTGTGAGCACAGAGTGGGTTAAAACTGCCTCTGCAAACACTGTTGGTGAGAGGTGAGGGAGGTGGGATGAGGAGGAACAGCCGGGGCGTGAGGAAGTGTGGCCATCTTCTTAGAACTGTATCTGTGGAAGGCACAAAATCCTTAAGCAAGAATTAAAAAAAAAAAAACAGTTTTGAATAAATCACACGTCATACTTAAAATTTAACCTGTGCAAATAAAGTAAAAGGTCAAGTCACTTTTTGTTTGCTTTTTTAAATTCTGAAATGTATTTATAATAGCAAAAAAAAAAATTCAACAGCAAAATCCTTACCTATAGGGAACTGCTTATATATAAGTCATAGTGAAACCATGCAATGAGATTCTAAATAGTTATTAAGTAGCTGACACAGTGACACGTCTATCCCACAATGTCGAGTACAAGGACGGTCAAGTCACTTTTTACATAAAATGCCACACCACAATATCACACTCTGAATTCCTAACCCTAAGCGAACTTGAATGAAATCAGCTAAACAGCTTCTAAATGCTTTTGCAATGAGTTAAGAAGGATAGAATTTGTCCATATACATGCATGCACACAAATCTACAAGTACAACATGCATGACACAGAGTAATTTGCTTCCCTTAATTTCAGATTTTAGCATAAACCATCATGGTCACTATTCTTCCTAGCACCAACACACTTTATCCATACTTCTGCTTCTTTCTTTAATATTTTTTTTTTATTAGAAAGTTAAATATACAGAGAGGATGAGAGACAGAGAGGAAGATCTTGCATCAAATGGTTCACTCCGAACTGGCCAGAATGGCTAGAGCTGTGCCAATCTGAAACCTCTTCCAGGTTTCCCATGAAGTGCAGGGTCCCAAGGCTTTGGGGCTGTCCTTCACTGCTTTCCCAGGCCACAGGCAGGTAGTTGGATGGGAAGCAGGGCCTCCAGGATTAGAACCAGCGCCCATACAGGATCCTGGTGTGTTCAAGCCAAGGACTTTAGTTGCTATGCCACCACGCCAGGCCCCATGCTTCTGCTTCTAATAACACCTACACAGGTTGACAGAAGGGCTAATGAGATCCTGTCTTCGTATTAGAAAATACTTTTCAAAGAGTAGGGACCCATTACTGATGTTAATCATTAACATCTGTGCTAGGTAGGGTAGTCAACATCGAGTCAACATCAAGCTCACAGTCTGCTGAGGCTCAGAGACCTTTATATCGTGTAATGTGAGAGTGCTTTGTGGGGTAAAGTATAAAGAATGAGGGAACCTGTAGGAGACATACTCATCAGGACCTGGCGCCCTGGGCACGAGTCCTTAGGGAAAACGACATCCAGGAAGAACAAAAGAACAAGTAGGAACCAGATCAAGGAGGAGGAAACTAGGAAAGTTCCAAGCCACCCATGCCAAAGGTTTAGGCTTCACGGCAGTAACAATGGCTAGTGGAGGTGGGGAACTGAAATCCACAAGAGTGCAATTATTTGCATTTTGATGCTGTGGTATAGAGAACAAATTAGAAAATGCTGAGACAGGACAGAAACATTCATCTGTCTCCAGCAAAAGGGATGGTGGCTGGCATGGAAGAGATGGCATGAGGGTGGAGGGAAGTTGAGGAACTCAAGGAAGAGTCTCTCAGGACTTGGTCTCTGAGTTGGAGAGGGTGGAAGCAAGGAAAGCGCTGGGACTTTTACAGCATCAGAGCACAGCACCCATGGCCCATCAGCAGTCAGGACAAGCTAGAGCAGAGGGGAAGCCATCTTCTACGTTCGTGCACAGGGGGCTGGCATGCAGGAAGTATGAAAAAAAGGGCAGCTCCAGGGTTGGCACCATCACACTGGAGCTCCCTTGGCACTCCAGGAACTATGAGAGCCGGAGCATGCCTTGTCACAAAGTGGATCTTCTGTACAGAAAGGTGAAGGCAAAAATCAGGGGGTGCGGATTACAACACCATCGTGGCTTGTAACTAAAGGCATGTGAGGCCTGGGGAACACAGCTGAATTCCAGAAGCATGCCAAAAATGCAACGGTTTTAGTATTCACTGGCAACTACCACTGCATCATTTTGAATGATATATATGATAGGCTTCTTGTAACAGCCTTACCAAGGACCCTTTATCAAATCAGATCATTCTTTAAAAAAAAAAAACCACTTTTAAAGTTTATTTTTATTTATTTGAAATGCAGAGAGACAGCGAGATACAGAGATCCTTCATCTGGTGGTTCGTTCCCCCAGTGCATGTAACAGCTAGGAACGGGCCAGGCCAAGGACAGGCCAAGGACATAGGTCAATCAAGGTCTCCCACATGTGTGGCAGGGACCAACCCAGGTTCTTGAGTTATCTCTCACCTGCTGCCTACCAAAGTGTGCATGAGCAGGAAGCTGTGATCAGAAGTAGAGCTGAACTTGAACCCAGGCACCCTGATATGGGATGCAGGTTTCCTAAGCAGTGTCCTCACCACTCTGCCGGATGCCCACATCATTGAAGAGCATAATTCTCAAACAACCAAGGAACTCAGAATGGCTTCAGTGACTTATAGAAGATTCCAATGCTTTACTAGACATTTTATACAACCAACAACCATGGCAACCATGTAGTATTTAGTCAGTGAGTGATATCCTCACACAAGCCACACCATCACGCTGCAGGACTTACGTTCTTTTTAATTTTATTCTTGATGGTTTCAATCACTCCAGCCTCTTCACTTTCACACAGCTTTTCTGTAGTTTTTAAGTCATCACACGCCAACTGCATTTTTTCCTCCTCAAATGTCATCATGGCATTCTTCCAAGAAATAAAGCAAGCATGAATGAGTCACTCAGTGTCTAAAGTTTCAGACCAATTCATTACAACAAAATCCCAAACTAGAAAAACACACCCTGTGCACTTACAGAAACAACCTCAGTATGACGTCAGAACATAGTCCTGTTACTCCAGCACCAGAAAACAGATGCTGAGGTCCTTGCACTTTTTGTTGCTGTTCATAAACACAGCATACACGATTTCTGTCTACGTTCGGTTTTGGTGACAGCGCAACATTCTACAGCTCACTCTACCCACACTATCCCTGCTCTATCTCACTGCACAGAAATGCTAATAGAACAACAAAAAGGAAGTAATCCTTGAAAATCACCAGAGACAGCAGTTACAGCAGGTGGACTTACGAGGGATTCATTTTGGACTGTCTCTAGTCAAAGCGCTTACTGACAGCCCACCTCTAGGTACCGAATTCACATGAAGTGTAATCGGCCCCATTGAAGTAGGTGGGGGCAATCGACCCCCCCATGCCAAGTGGGCTCCCTAGGGAGGGGCAGAGCAGCTGCAGGATGTCTGGCTGCTGGAACGACCCTAGCGAACTCTGGCTCTCCACTCCATGTTCATTCTGCCAGTGCCACCTAGCTATTCTAAACCCCCTGTTTTCCCCTTCCAGTCAAATCAGGCCATGGTCTCCTCTACTCAAGCCTTGTGGTTGCACTCTGCTTCCCGACTGCCTTCTCAGGCTGCTGGAAGCTGCTCTCTGCCATGACCCTGTTCACCTCTTTCCTACCCCCGCAGCTGGGCTTGGCCAACAGCCTGGCTCCTCTGTCCCTTCCAGCCTGTGTAGTCACTTGTGTACTAGTGTCTACCATGCCCCTTGAGATGAGGAACTAGATATTCTTACAAACAGTATGGTGCTAAGAAGGCGTACTCACTGGTGCCACAGGAGTGAAATGGCTGGAATGAAGCCCCCTCTCGTGCCAAGCAGGTCTGTGCCTGTGGTGGGCCACCAGCTGGCTGGGCACCACTTGCTCACTCACTGACATTTTTTCCAGACTCAAAACTAAATGCTTTTCCTCTCTGAGCCTCTACTCATGCATCACATACCCCTCCCCTGCCCCAATTCTATACGATCTGATCCTTAAATTATGTGTTTGACTACTCTTTGCATGATCGGTGTTTCTGTAAAACAAAAACAGCCAATTTTCTTCATTGTCCCATTTTCTTGAAAATCGTTACTGCAACGTGTTCCCTTGATTCTCCAATGTCGGTATTTGGAAATGTGGTGCTAACTAACAAACAGCTTCCACTCGGTGACCCTAGCTTCCTAAAAGTCCATATAGACGTGACAACTTCAGGGCAAACCTTTGTGATCCAAATTCAGACTACTGCTCCTTCTAAGGCAGTTTTAATTTTTGTGGTTCTTTCATTTGATCCCCAAATTAACTTTGGTTGGGAAAATAGAATATTCTAAAAGTAAGATGAAAGCATTTTAATTTTAAAGTTAGGGAAGACAGGCTATCTGCTAGGCACTGGTGACGAGGAGAAAAATCAGTCAGTTTTAAGCCCTAAAAGATTTTCTCCCACTGAAAACCTATAGTGCTGACAGCCATTAGCAGATGTGACTTTATAAATTCATTTGCTTCATGCCAATACCTCTTCCAATATCAACTTACCAAAAAACTGACAAAGCTGGCTCCAAAACTCATTAATGGGCTATGATTTCTGTGAAGAAAAGAGAACAAAATTATTTTTCTTATAACCTATGGTGTTTCAAAAACATGGGATATATCAGGGTCACGATATAACCCTACTAATTAGATACAAGTTAAGGTGATCAGTAAATTAAACACCCCTCTTTCCCCCAGTTAAAGAGACAAGATGGCTTGTGGCTCTGGCTGCTGGGTCCGAATCTGTCCCTGCTTTTCTTCCAAGTAAGGTATGCTGTAACACCAAATTAGAGCAGAGACTGTCTTACACAAACTCTGAAATTGCAGCTGTTCAAGAGTTGACTCAGAAAATACAAAGATGGTAGAGATAAAGTAACACTTGCAAAAAACTGACCAGAGATTATATCACACGTGCTTAAAATGCAAAAGTTATTCATAAGCTTCTACTTGTAAATTCAGCATTCTGTCTAGAGAATACCCAAGGGTCTTAGCCCTGAACCAGACTCCCAACCTCACTGCTCCATTCAGGAACATTTAGGACGGCTCCAGAAGAGCTGTCCTCTACTGCCGTCCCAGGACTTAAGCAGGGAGCTGGATGGGAAAGTGGGGCAGCTGGGAGACAAACCATATGGGATGCTGGTACAGTGAGAGGCTTAGCCTCCTATGCCACCTGGCAGCCGCCATGGTCACTATTTTACAAAGCTATTAAATAACCGATTCTCGATTAGAAATAAAATTTGTGACCAAAGTGATTGTGTGTGCATGAGTGCACACAGGATAGAAGATGTACATCTGTATGAGTGTGTATGCCTACACATGTACCTGATGGAGATCTTGTACATTTATTTTTACACGCAAGGCCAAATATAAATATAACCTTAGGATTAGTTGCTGAATGTAGCATTACTTAACCAAAAGGCTTATACATCCAGTGTGTGTGTGGTGGGGAGTACATACAGAATTCCATCTCTGGACTTATATGGGAACCAGTTAAAGTCTCAGCTGCTCCATTTCCCATCCAGCTGCCTGTGGATATGCCTGGGAAGGTAGTGGCAGCTGGTCGAAGACTTTGGACTCCTGCTGCACATGTGAGAACCCCAAATGGAGTTGCAGGTTCCTGGCTTACGCCTGGCCTAGTACTAGCAACTGTGGCCATTTGGGAAGTGAACCAGCAGTTGGATGATCTCTTGCTTTTTGTTTGTAACCCTACCTTTCAAACAAAATAATTAATCTTAAAAAAAAAAAAAGAATGAGGGTCCGGTGGCGTGGCCTAGTGGTTAAAGTCCTCGCCTTAAAAGCCCTGGGATCCCATATGGGTGCCAGTTCTAATCCCGGTGGCCCTGCTTCCCATCTAGCTCCCTGCTTGTAGCCTGGGAAAGCAGTCGAGGACAGCCCAAAGCCTTGGGACCCTGCACCTGCGTGGGAGACCTGGAGGAAGTTCCTGGTTCCCGGCTTCGGATCGGCGCAGTACCAGTCGTAGCAGTCACTTGGGGAATGAATCATCCGACGGAAGATCTTCCTCTCTGTCTCTCCTCTCTGTATATCTGACTTTGTAATCAAAATAAATTAAAAATCTTAAAAAAAAAAAAAGATCACATAATACCTTGTTATAGCAGCAGCAAAGAAAAAGCCTTAAAAACACACTAGGGTCTTATGGAAGTTTCCACCTGCCAATGATGGAACATGCTGCCCACACTTGAGGGTAGAAACAGCAACCAGTTAAAGATAACCCATAAGAGACATTAAAAACTAACACACATGTGTGCGCACACACACAGTAGTAGCAATTAGGATAAAACTGAAATTTACTATTCATAATAGCACCAAATTATTAATTTTCTAAAAATAAGTTTAACAACAAGTCTACACTAAAAATACAAAACATTGTTAACAGAAACTACAGATTTAAATCAGCATTTCCCAATAGGCATTCTTAACATAAGCTTTAATCCATTATTTACATTTTATTTCAAAAGCAAGGAGAAAGAGAGAGACAGAGCGAGCTCTTCCACTCACTGGTTCACTCCCCAGATGCCTTAGTAACCATAGCTGGGGCAGGAGCCCAGAACTCCACACAAGTCTCCCACGTGGGTGGCAGGGGCCCAAGAACTTAATCCACCATCTGCTGCCTCCAGGGTGCGGATTAGCACCAAGTTGCGTTGGAATGAGAAAAGCCACAACTTGAAGCAGGCTCTGCATGGGATGTGGGTGTCCCAGGAAACACTGCACCAAATGGCTGCCCCGCATAACTCTGTGTTGAAGGGCTGTCCCTAATCTAACGTTTATTAACCAGATACACTATAACGCTAGGTAGTGGTGAGGACGGGAGCCACTGGAAGTCTCACACACTGCTTACATGCCTACCCTCTGACACAGAGAATTCCTTCCTGGGTACACATCCACCGAGGGTAACGATGCTGCTCCCTCACACAACAGGTGCAATTTACTAACTGTAAGTAATCATTTTACATAATAGATTCATGTATTAATGGCATATTACCTATAGCAGCCTCAAAAGGGAAATCATCCCAGTGCCCACCAAACAATAGAAAGGATGGTGTCAACTGCAAACTATTCATTTGATGGAATAGCTCATAGCTATGAAATATTACTGCTAAATGAAATACTCATGAATTCATCTCATAGACATGCTAAGTAACTTAGCTGAAAGAAGACCAGACACAGAAGAGTACAAAGGTAATTCAATAAATTCATGGAGAATATAGTTAAAAGATGTTTAGTATGAAAATTTTTGAAATCTATGTGTATCTGTTTATGTTAAATAATTCCATTTATATGAAGTTCAAAAGCACAATGATGAACAGTAATTACCTGTGAGGGGATGTCAACTGAGAAGGAGCCCAAATGAATGTGAGAGTGCCAGAAATGGGCTTTAACTCTAGCTAGAGGTAATTACACTGATAGTTACCTGTAAAAGTGGTTTCCTCTGTGTGTGTGTGTGTGTGTGTGTGTGTGTGTGTGTGTTTGCTTCTGCAAAACAGGGAAGGAGCACAGCGTGGTAGCCTAGCACTAAATCCTTTCCTTGAAGATACTGGGATCCCATAAGGGCACCGATAATATCCCGGCAGCCCCACTCCCCATCCAGCTCTCTGCTTGTGGCCTGGGAAAGTAGTCAAGGACAGCTCTTCTGGAGCCTTGGGACCCTGCACCAGCTTGGGAGACCTGGAGAATTCTCAGGATTCCTGTCTTCGCATTCGCTAACTGTTGCAGCCACTTGGGGAGTGAATGACTGGATGGAAGATCTTCCTCTCTGTCTCTCCTCCTCTTTGTATATCTGACTGTCCAATAAGAATAAATAAAAATTTTTAAAAAAAGAAAAACAGGGAAGAAGCAAGAAAAAAGAGTGAAAATCTGAAAAATGACCATTAATACAAATGAGTTCATATTATGATGTGGTAATGGTATTGCAGCTATATTTCAAAGGAATCTATTTTATAGAGGTATATATTAAGGTGTTCGAGAAAAAATGATGTGATGACCAGGATTTGTTTTTGTTTTAAAATAATCTGTGGCAAAACAATTCAAGGTGGGCATACAAAGACTGACAGTGGCTTGATCATTCCTGAGGCTGAGTGAGAAGACTGCCGAAATTCTTCCACTTTACTCTGTTTCAGAAGAGGTATGAAATAATCAAAAACTAAAAAAGCAAACACACCAAAACCACAATCTTCCCCCAAAGATAAAAGTATCATCTGAAATAAAGGTCATTTTCATATTTCGTGGGTTGAAAATGAAGCATAAATAACCAAACGTTCTCAATTTGTTTCTCTTTAAAAATGAGTCACTAAACGATATAAAACCTGTTGAGAACACAAGGAAACAGTATCCATGCAACATTGCTATGGAAGCATTTTTAATAAAATTTCCCCAGGACAATAAAAATCAGCCTGATGGGGATCAGACTAAGCCTTTGTCTGTGATGATACCAGTATTCCATATGGGCACAGGTTCAAGTCCCAGCTTCTCTACTTTCAATCTAGTGCCCTATTAATGTGCCTGGCAAAAGACTCCCAGGTGGGTATCTGCCACTCACACGGGAGATCTGGAAGAAGCTTCTGGCATCCGGCTTCAGCCTTGCCTAGCCCTGGCCATTGTGGCCATCTGGGGAACAAACCCATTGATGAAAATCTCACTTTCGCTCTCTGTCTCTTTTTCTCTCTCCTTCTGCCCACAGCTCTCCTCTCCCACCCCCTCTCTGCAACCTTTGAAATAAATAAAATAAATCCTAAAAATATTAGACTGGTGATTTCATTTCTCAACATATAGGAGAAGGGAAAGTACATGTTTCATCCTGAAAGGAATATTTCTCCATTAGGCAGTGAGCATTAATCACTACACTGTAACTAAAAACATTTCTTCAAATGCCCAAATTACCCAAAGTGGTGAATGGCTAGAATTTTTAAGGCCTTTGGTTTTCCTGAAAACGCTCTATATCTGTATAATGCTGAGTCTTAGAATACCACAGATGGCTTTTCTTCCCTCCAACTGCCTGCAGAGCTGGGTCCTTCACGGTTTCCAAAGGAGATGTGGGGTCTTGTGAACCTCCTCTAGCCCCCAGCTGCCATCCACATCTTTCAACGTGGTCCCAAGATCCAGATGGGAGGGGCGAGGGAAAGTCTGCAGGCATTCACCCCTCTGTTCTGCACAGAGGCTCTTAGGCGTCTCTGGCCCACGTGGCCTCAAGCATCACAGCCTTAGAGGGCCAGTTGAGGCCAGCTAGCAGTGTTACGAGGTAACATTCAATGTTTCTCTAGATGCCTCTGACCTTGACTGACTTTGCCAATGTGACACTGTATCCTCCTCTGTGCTCTGTATCACCAAAAATGAACTTTAAAGAGACAACATGGGCCAAATACTTCCTGTCTCCTTCTGAATGTAGACAGTGCCCGCAGAAGAACAAAATGTGCATGAAGCCAATGGTTGCAACACGGCCCAGAACAGGGGTATGTGGGGTTTGGCTACGCTGTCTCCATAGCGGAAAACTTCCCTGACTGTGTGCTGGGCACAGCATCATGGATGTGCCACCAAAGAAGC